ATAATAGAATCAGAATGTCTGGGTCTGTCATCTGATGCCAGTGGGCCATATTTTTTATCCCCATTTAAGTCAGCAGAGCGCTAAACCGTAAATTAGTAGCTCAGCCGCAGTAAGTCTCTCGTTTAGCCCCACAATGCAGGAGATCTGGGTAATTTCATACCGCAGAAATCAGGCTTTTTTGGCTTCATGTACCAATAAACAACCCCCAATGCTGTATTCAGTTCTCTATATATATATCAGTGGGGTCCAGGAGATTCTACCCTGGTACTTTTTAAATGAACAAGTTTACTTTGATATCTTCATGCTCTCTAGCAGTTTATTTAGACTTTGACTCACTTTATTCGTCCAGTGGGAAATTCATTTCCACTAACTGTACATTTACAGAGATCAATCACAAATATCACAGACACAGACATATTACAGACATCACAAAACATCACATGTTCATTCACAGAGGTGGACACTTTGAGTCAACAGGATCTCTTTTAGAATAAAAGTACAAAAGAAAATAATAGATAATCATTATCTATTATTTTCTTTTGTATTTTTATTCTAAATAAATTTCCAGAGAGCATGAATACATCAAAATAAACTTGTTAATTAAAAAATCCTAGTGTGAATTATTTTATTTTCATTGTGAATTAGAAAATGGTTGTGGGTCATCCAGCACCCTAGATTTGGCCCACAGGCTGTAAGTTGAGTATCATTGTACTACAGTTTAAGGTGTTCAATGCTGTGCTCTTTATCGAATTGCGCTCTGTTCTGACCTGTTTGATGATGGTGCTGATGTCACTCAGTTGCATAGGGGCACAGTCGGTCTTTAGAATGTAGTCCATTATGCTAATGTCACACATCTCAAACACCCGGGCTTTTCCACACCTCGTGTTGAACCAGCCAAGGAACTTGATGATATTGTGCTGGTCAGCTTTGAGGCGCATTAACTCCTGCATCATGGAAATCTGGAAACACATGAGGAGTGTCACACTGATGGTTAATATGTTCACATGTATGAAAGTCAGAGAAAACTATGTTGAAGATTTATGGGGCACTTTTTGAAGGCAGAGCTTCATATTGTGTTCAAACTCATGACAGATAGTTGCATTATTCTACATATAATCACTAAAGCTGTACCAGTGGTGGAAGACGTACTGGGATCTTTCAATTAAAGGAATACTTTACCCACAGATTGACAATTCGTTTATCAGTTAGTCATGCCGTGTTACCTTGAATTTGTGAAGCAAGCTTTGTTTTTCTCACATGCCTTCATGGAAAACTGTATTGATTTATTGATTGATTGGGGACCACGTTTAACAACAGTAACCTGAAACCTTCCTGTTAAATACTGATATGACAGTGAAACGTATCTATGCGATCTTCAAAGCCAGAGTCCAATACTAAAGGCTTTTTTGGGCTAAAATGCTAAAAGTAGCAATACCACAGAGTTAAAATACCTGCTTAAGTGTTCACATCATAATATACTTGTAGTACCTAAAGTAAAAGTAGGGTCTTTGCAGAATATCATATATCATATTACTGTATTTTAGTACTGATGCATTCATTTGTTGATCACGTTATTGTGGCAGCTGCTAAAGGTGCAACTAATGTTAATGGCTTTACATACTGTTGGGTAATTGAGGTAAGGGATAATGCCCATTAGAAGTTTTTTATTTCATTTCATATATTCATTTGACTCAAGACCATATCCCATAGTATGGAGCACAAACATTACATACAATAGGTAATAACAGAGCAATGGCCAACATGGAAACATGAACTCTTTGACATGCAGTTGAGGATGGTTCATGCCTCCACCTCCATCAGCAGCTGACCCTATTAATGTATTATTTCATAGCACTAACTTAAGGGGAATGCTTTTTGCACTTTACTAAATAAAACTCACTAAATACTAAAAGTAGTAAAAGTTTATATATTATATGCAATCACTCTTTTACAGCTGTGAACATCAGAATCAACAAACTGTCTCACCTCCTTGCCGTCATCATTTGCGTACAAGGGGATCTTTACAGCCACGGGTTGGTTGATGTCTTTCTTCCAGCATTTCACCACCTTTCCATAGCTGCCCGCTCCCAGAACCTTTATAGACCTGTATTGGCTCGGGAGTTTGATGGCGTTTAGGCCAAAGAATGATGGTGGATTGTAAATGGGGTCAGTCATTTTGTTGTCTTGAAAAGCTGAAAAGAAAAGAGAAAATTATATTAATTCCCTTAAAAGGATCCTAACAGTGTACACATCTTATTTCTTCTTCCATCTGCTGGTTTCCATTCTGTCATGGATTACACAGAAGATATAAAATACTGCTTTGGATCTTCATGTCTTTAACTCGTGTTTCATACTTCACTCCTGACCAAACCTCATCAATTTCCAGCAGCTTTTGGAGAGGACCTAGTTTCATGTAATCAAATTACAAAATAATCTGATCTGAAACCAGTGTTGGGAATATTATTTTTAAACGTAACAGGTTACAGATCACTAGTTACCCTGGTAAAAATCAGTAATGTAACAATTTGAATTACTTCATCAATGTCTAACAAATGTTTTGCAATAAAGCTGGAAATGTCCATAATATGTTGTGTCAAAAAGAAGTCATTTCTGCATGAAGAAAACATGCAAAGCAACAGACTGAATGTTTTTATCCTTGACTTTTTACAGAAAACACTGTATTTGGATATAACCCCTTAACAGTTTGATTAATAACTGTAAAATGTACTTAGATATCTTTCTCAATAACTGTAACTCATTATAATTACATATATTATTGTCATTTAATCACATGTAATGAACAGAGACAGAAACGCTGACTTACTTGTATCACAGTTTTGTATACGGTCCAGTTGTTAGGATCGCTCTGTCGTAATCTGTTGATAAGTCGAGGGTTGTAGTCTCCCCAACTGCTGTAGTTGAAGTGAGAAAATTCCACCCAGAGGGTCTATTTAGCTATTTCTAGAGTGAGATTCTAGAGTGAATTGTGATGTCACAAAGGCCGTAGATTTTCATTCCCATTCAGTTCTTAATTTTAAATGTAAACACAATGCACTGACACTACTCTGAGATCCATTCAGCACTTGTTGTTGATGGTCAGTACACCATGTAGAGATACTGTAGTGTGTACTGAAGTTTCTCAGCTGATCAAGTGTCAGGATATGAATTGTTTGTTTGAACAAACTCAGTATCCATCCATTAAACTGTATGTTTGGATTCACCATCAGTCTCTGAGACACTGAGGCCTGCAGACTGTATGAAGTGAAGCATCATAGTAAAGCATACACATACACACACTGGAGGAGTGTGTTGTGTATCTGTGTGCATTAAGGACATTAAATGCACCAAACAAAGTTTATATCAGATGAACAGAGCCCCTCCACCCCAGGGGCCCCATTGGAATTGCACTGCCTGCACTGTCTATATTTACGCCCCTGTATAGGATGCTTTAAACCAGGGGTGTCAAACTCATTTCAGTTTACAGGTCACATTCAGTCAGTCTACTGCTTACAGTCATTACATGTGGATATTTCCATACATTTCCAATATGTGTGACCAATGTGTTCTGGTCGGGGTGGAAAAGCTTCTGAAGCAGCATTTTACATGAAGAAAGCTACTCAGTGTTTAACTTGCTCCTGAAACCTGCCACCTCTTAGCCTTCACAAGTGCATCACTATTAGGTGTCCAAGTGGGCCGGATGGACCCTTTGCTGGGCTGGCTCCAGCCCCTTGGCCGTATGTTTGACACCCCTGCTATAAACAGTTGATTTGTAGATTCACGACAACCAGCTTTATGTACAACTCCCTTGTTTTATTATAATCATCATTATTATTATTATTATTCAATGAATACTTTTGATTTTGGTTACATACATGTTGAGAAACACACAAACTTTCTCACAGTTTGTTTCAAATGTGTTTTACTGAGGCATGTCAACAAATAGCGTCATATATAGTCAAGTAATGTGTCAATGTATCCAAATACACATATATGCAGCTGTCGTGTAGTATTCTCCCTTTCAATCTTTTCTGAAAATATATTGTACAGTAATGAGAAAACATATATACATATACATACATACGCACAGCATATCAAATTTTCTCACAGTCTATAACCCAAAAAAAAGGAATAGGCTGAATCCCAAAGCTTTTATTTGCCTATCAAACAAAGGATAACTCAGGATATCAACAGTATCAAAGAAAGGAAATAAATAAATTAATAACTGAAAACATTATACTCTTTGATCCTCAGTTATTTTACATTTTAATCATTTTACATTTGAAGGCTTTTTGAAACAGGGAGTAACACAATTTCAACTCTGCACTGAGTCCATTCCCTAGATGACTCCCAAAAGTTAAACACATCTGTATTTTACGTTAGTTTTCACTTTACATGTTTCATAAATAAACAGCCCTCTTCCATTATAATTTAATTATATTTTCTAATTATATATTTTTTAAATATAATAATAATAATAATAATAATAATGATAATAATAATAATAAGATAAGATAAGATA